AATCAGTCATTTTTTAAGGAATAAAAAACATGACTGTCATATTTTGGAATTTTCAGACTATTTTAGTCTTATTTCGGGAACTTTTATTTCCCTATTGTTTTGTAGTTCTCCTATTTTATTTTAAACGTAATATTTCCGATCCTCACGTTTTCTTTGCTTCAATACTTTTTCTTAATTCCACTATCTTCCATGCTTCTTTATTACTTTTAAACGCAAAATTTCCAATATAATGTTTACTTGTTTCCTTACTTTTTCTTAATTACATTATCTTAAATGTTTCATTTTACTTTTAACGGAAAACTGTTTCCCTTTAAGTAAAGTTCATCATGGACCTTAACTTCCTCTTCTAATTTACTCGTAGAGTATACTTCTACCGACCACTTTGTCATTTGGCAATTTTTTAAAGGCATATCTTGACACAAACAGAATATTGTTTCCTTTTCTGGCCAACTCCGTGTTTGGTTTATTTTAGAAGAGGGTAGGACAGGTGGGTGCGTGGGACGATGGAAGAGAGTAAGAGACCGGGGAGGAGTATGTGGTGGGAATATATGTGCCTTTGGGAAGAGGATCAAATGAGGATATTATATGTTCTTCTAATTGGCCTCGTCAATTCTGTTAATTTAGATGGCGTAATAGGAAGAAACTCTGAGGAAGCGGTCCAGTCCAGCCGCTGGTCGTCGACTCAGGAGGTCTCGGGTTAGAAACTCAATGGAGTGAGTTTCAACGTAGATTACTTCAAGCTCCCCCAGCCCTCTCCCCCAGACACCCAAGGAGTTAAAAAAAAAGAAGAAACTCTTGAAAGTTTTCAAATTTCATTTAAAGTTCGTTTGGTAATCCTACTTTGAGCTTATCAGGCGAATTTATTATTAAACACGTAGTTTTTGACTTTACGCGCTAAATTAAGTAATAATTCGAATAAGGTCGTAGTTAATTTTCTGAATGAATTTATTGAAGTTATTGTAGAACACGACTTTAGCTATTTTTCATGTATTTTTTCTTGATTTTATTACTAGAATGTATTTTAAGTATAATTTTTTCATAGCTCGGCAAATCCAGCTAGATTTTTTCTAAATTTTAGCAGATTAAGTGAATTTTAGTGTTTTCAAAGAGGGCCGATATAGAGGACTAAGTTTATTTGATTTACCTCCAACTAGTTCCTATTAGCGAATAATATATAGTCGATTTTTTAAATCCAAATAACACTAAAATGCACTAATACTGTGTTTTGATCCAAAATAAATTAAAAGTCGTGCTATGAATCCGGTACCCCCCACCTCCGGGCCATGAACTTGATTGGTTCTAGTTAATTAGGTCATGTTTTAATCCTAGATTGCATTATTTGAGTTTTGGTACACTGGTATAGTGTAGTTTAATTTGATTTAATATTAGGTGAAGTTTGTCATGTTAAACGGAGTACGTAGTGTATACGGAGTATTATTCATAGAGTTATTGAAATAAAAGTTTATATTTCTTGTTCAAAGAGTTTTGTACAAAAAATGCTAACATGGGGAAGTTCCAGAAATAGGAATAAAACATTTTGAAAATTCCAAAATAGGACTGTCATGTTTTTTATTTCTAAAATAGAAGTAATTACTGCCAAGTTTAGAAAATATTGCCATGTTTGAAGTCTGGTACTACCAAAACATAACAGTAATTAGTCCTATTTTGGGAATAAAAACATGACAGTCCTATTTTGGAACTTCCAAACCTTTTTAGTCATATTTCGGGTAATATTCTCTATTGTATATCTAAATATAAATAATAATTTTATATAAGATAAATTGCAAGAGAAATGAAACATGTATTGCCGTACGTAATTTTACTTTCAATATTCTTTTATTGAATAGATTTTATATATCATGGCGATTATAGTACATGTAATCTAAGCTAGCTTGTTTATGCTTTGAAATCTAGCCTTCGATCACATTGGGCAAACATTAGAATGCTTCAAGGGGTACGGTAGTGTGGTGAGAAATTTGTAAAAAAATGAGCTGCATTCAATGAATTGTTGATTCGAGTGAAGTGGCTCAATGAAGGATAGATCATAAGAATTTGTAATGAATAAAGATACTCTAAAAGTCTAATAAAAATGAATAAAGATTAATTCTTGGTATGTATTTTACAATAAGATAGTCAATTTAAAGGACTTACTAGAACATTTTAATCATACTCGATCACTTGTCATTGAGAAGTATTATTGACATACTCCAAGATTGAAAGTTTCTTCACATGCACCATGACCACGTGAAGGAAAACTATGGTCTATGGGCTCCATACAGTAATTTTGGACTAGTAAATGTCATAAATATGCGTACATAGACTATTCAACAAAAGCAAAACTTCTGCATTTACTCCTAAATGAGGAAATTTTGTACTTTGAATATGATTAAAGATTTAAAGAAGTAATAAAGATTGAAATAAACTTAATTATTACTTAAATTTAACCATTTTGTCTATCCCATTTGAAGTAATTCTAACCTTTATTTTATTTTGGTAGATTCTATGGTATCCATAAGGTACCATACATTTGTCCACATGGACCAATGAGAACGTAGCAGTTGAATTGTTTAAATTTAAATTAAAAATGATAAAGTGGTGTGATCAAATCAAATGAATGGTAGGTACGGTACCCCATTTTTTAGAAGGATACCCGAGTTGTCACCTTTTATTTTTTCATGAATGCTTGGGTACCCTACAATTAAATGAAGGTATCATACCTATCGGTCTAAGTTATTCTCATACTACGTATATACGAAGTATTGTACTCCCTCCGTTTCTGAAACAAGTTCCACATTTGACTTCACACATATTAAAAAAATAAATCTGACTTTACTGTGGAGTGCACTGTTTGAACACTGTTTGGCACTGTTTGGCATTGTTTGAACATTGTTTGACACTGTTTTGATCTCTGTTCTAAAAATCGTTCTAGGCGTCCGATTAGTCCCCGCCTAGGCGCTAGGCGGTGGTCGGGCGCCCCGATTTTCGTCTAGGCGCTCCGATAAATTGGTTTGCCGTTTAGGTGAATTAGTCGGCCGCATATGGCGCCTAGTTGCTCGCCCATAGCGCCTACTCGGCTGCCTAGGCCGTCTAGATTCTCCGAACATTACATTACTTTTCAATTTTAATTTTTAGCGATATAAGTACTTTAACTTTAACCACAAATATAAAGAAATGAAGTTGTAAATTAAGCTATATATGCCTAAATTTTATTATTATTTATATTTATAACATAATGAAGTCAAGTGTTTAGTTATCATATACTACGTATGATTAAATGTGATAATTCTTTGTTAATGTATGTGTATATATGTATTTTATTCACATAAGATTACAATATTACTTATCATATTTATGCAAAAATATAGATAAAAATGCAATTTCTATGTTCCGACTAGTCCCCGACTAGGCACCCGCCTAGCCGCCTAGGCGCTAGTTTGGCGCCCGACTAGCGCCTAGCGCCTTTTAGAACATTGGTTTTGATGTAGATAATTTGCCAAATAAGGAAATGTTTGAAAGTGGAACTTAATTTTGAATCTGCCCGAAAAGGAAAAGTGGAACTTGTTTCAGAAACGGAGGGAGTATCACTTATTAACATTTAAGTTACTCAACTGCTCGTATAATACTATCTCTGTTCTCAAATAAACTTCTCGATCATTTTATTTTAATGTTCCATTTTCTACAGAATATTTGATAAACAAATTTATATCAATGTACTCTAGCTTTGATCTTTAAATAATAATAACAACACAATGCAAAATAATACAAAACATTGTTAAACAGTGTCAAACATTGTCAAGTGTCAAAACAATGCATTCCACAATAATAAGTTATTGCTTAAAAATATTTATTTTCTTATATAAATTACTCCAAATAGGACTAAAACTATGGCAAAAACTCGAAATAGGACTTACTATGTTTTTATTCAAAATAGGACCATATTAGTCATATTGTAAACATACCTATTCTTTCATTCCATTCTTACCCTTCCTTTAAATATAAGTTAACAATAGTTAAAAACCATAATTAAATGTTTAATTCATAATAAATTCGAAAAAAAATCAAAAATTCGTAGAAAAATAATTAAAAAATTTATAAAATATTTATAAAATAAAAAATAAAAAAAACAATTTTTATTAATTTTTATAAAAAAATAATAAAAAATAGTAAAACTCCATAAAAAAATTAAAAAAAATATGGATGCCTTTCCCACCGCCTGTACTACCTCCCTGCACCACCACCTCCGACCGGTGAAAAAAATGCCATTTTTTTTTCTAAAAATACCAAAAAATGTCATATTTCCTTTTGAGAATGCCAAAATTTTCATTGTTTTCTGCCATAAATATAGCTTTCATAATGAATTTGGTATTTTTTCCTCCTGGTCACTGGAGGTGCTGGTGCTGAGGCGGAAGATGCCGCGGTGTTTTTTTTTTTTGAGTTTTTAGTTTTTTAGTTTTTTTTTGAGATAAAAATTAAATTATTATTATCAAAATATTTTTATTAATTTTTTTAGTATTTTTTACGAATTTTTATTATCTTTTATTATTTTATTATGCATTAAAACATTTCAATAGCTATAAGAGTATATTCGACCAAGATACACATAATTAGTCCTATGAAAATATAGTTTATTTTTTGATCCTATTTGTCCAAAGTGAGTGATTTTCGGTCCTATTTTGATAATTAAGGATGTTTTTACTTGGACTGTAATTCCTCCCAGACCAGACCAGACCAAACTTGGATAGTTATAAAAATACAAAGAAACCAGACCAGACCAGATCAGACCAGACCAGCAAATTACGATAGTAAAAACATCCTAACTCATTTCCTTAATACTCCGTACTACGTATCCTATTTTAACCGGAGAGAGTCACATAGTCGAGGGTACATATAATTTGATTTATTTTATTTTACATAATTACGGAGTATATTTTATGCATTCCAAAACGGATTCGCTATATGCCTATCTATATAAATACCCTACGAACAGACCAAAGCATTATATTATTGTCAAACATCAAGACAGATCAAGAAAAAGTTCATCTCCACCACCCACTTTAAGAGCTAGAATATGGACAACAGAAGATTAAACAAGCTCTACCAAACAGGCGTAGTGATCAAGCAAATAGTGAAGAGATGTTCCAGCCTAGGCAAAAAACATCATGGCTACAACAACGACGATGAGCTCCCTCTTGACGTACCAAAAGGACACTTCGTCGTCTACGTCGGAGAGAACCGGAGTAGGTACATTGTTCCCATCTCCTTCTTGGCCCGGCCCGAGTTCCAGCGCCTTCTTCACCGGGCCGAGGAGGTTTTCGGGTTTGACCACGACATGGGCGGCCTCACCATCCCCTGCGACGAAGACGTGTTCCAATCGCTGACGTCCATGCTCCGATAAAGTGCAGCAGTAGTTTTCTGATCCGACGGCCGGAGATGTTGATGGAGCTGCGATGTGAGGATGGTGATTATCCTATCCTATCCGATCCGATCCGATCCTCATCATAATATAATCCAGGCAGGAAATTAAATAGCTAGCTCTGATATATAGATTATTACGAGTATAATTTTTTTGTTACTAACTGGAGCTGGGTTTTCATCCTCTCTCGAAGAAATAAAGAAAAAGAAAAGAAAAAGAAACCTGCCGAGTATTTCGCAAGTTGTAAATTTGAACGTATTTAATTTCCCCTAATTTTGATCATACAATTAATTGATTAATTATATTGCACAATTTGTACCTGTGGAAAACTATAGTACGTACGTAGTCCGTAGACCGTAATTCACATATTTACTTCCTATGTCCGGAGTTGATTAAAGATTCAACCGGAAACTATAAATTCTTTAGGAATTTTTTCAGTCAAAAAAAGATTCAACCGGAAACTATACATTCCTAAAGAATTTAAACATTAATTTATTTACAAGTAAACTCTCTGAATGGGAAGTATATACTTCGTATATGGTTAAAGGAAAAACATCCCCTCCGGCCAGAGGGACACGAAACACCATCCGGCCGCAATTGTTTTGGGTGGTTTTCAGGGAATTTTTTTGATGATATTTTTTGAGAATGTTTCTCATCAAGTCTAGTTTATCCACGAAAGATATCAATTAAAAATTCGATCGAGAAGGAAGTCAAATGAATTTTGGAAAATAACTGCGTTTTATATGTAAATTTTGACGCAGTTATCTTCAAAAAATTATTTGACTGGCTTTTCGGTCTTATTTTTAGCTGATTTTTTTTTGTATAAACTAAATTAGATGTGGAACATGCTAAAAAAAAATCATCAAAAAAATTCATCGGGAACCACCCCAAACGGCGGTGACCGGACGGAGGGTCTTGTCCCTCCGCCCGGACAAGATCATTCCTCTATGGTTATATACTGTTAGTTTGCTGACAATATTTTTTTCCGGGGGATGGGAAACCTGGGTAAACAATACTGTAATTTCCTCAATGGGAGTTTCGAATCCGACACTACAAAAAACACACGGGATAGACAGAGATTTTTAGGAGAAATTTCCCAAAATTAGCAGGGATTTGTGCAGGGATAAGTCAAATGCGTGTCAAAAACAATTTGACACGAGCTATTTAGCACAAAATCATCGGTAAATCCGTGTTAAATCAATGCCAATCCCGTAATTTTTTTTGAAATGTGAGACTTCCCGTATGGAAGAGTGAGTTTACGACCAGTTGAGCTGAGCTGCTTCCTCACTAACAATATTTTCATACATAGGTATTTAATCTAAACAAGTTGGTTCAATTCGAATACGTTTTGGTCTAATTTGTCCAAATTCGATCTAATAAACGTTGCGAATTTTATTATGATTTAATATTAAACATAATATTATCGACCTGGCCGTTAAACTATTACCAATATGTAATTTCGTTAAATTTAATCGACCTGGTTTGACTTGGAATGAAAGTACTCCGTCATTTAATTCAAAACATCTTAGCAATACTGTTATTGTTTGTTTGGTGTGGACTCAGTTTATTTTTGTAAACATATGGAGTTTTATTGGAGTACTCCTATTATTTTATGCAGAATCCGGTGACCTCCATGGTTTTTTATTGATTTAAGTTTTTATTTTCATATCGCCCTGACGTCATAAAAGGATGTTTCTACTTGAATTGTTTTCAATCCAGATCAGACTAGATCAGATCAGATCATACCAGATCAGACCAGACCAAATTTGAATAGTTATAAAATACACAATGACTAGAAGTTTACCAGATCATATCAGACCAGTTTAGACCAGATCAGATTAGAGCAGACCAGACCAGACTACAAAATTTAAGGTACGTGGTATATTTGAAATTTCTTGGTTGAATGCGTTAAACTTTAAAAAGTGTTATATTTCCGTACAAAATTAGTTTTAATATGGAAGTGATGTGAATTTTTCACTATTGAAATTGTAAAATGTACTGGGTACTATATGTGGGTGTAATACGTATGAGTTGGACTTGGGGTACACACTTTTGGTGTACACACTTTTTACACATGTCTGTGTAAGGTTTTTTTTATGTCTGTACAGACATAACGTATTTTAAAAATTGTAAAAATACGTTATGTCTGTACAGACATAAAAAAAACCTTACACAGACATGTGTAAAAAGTGTGTACACCAAAAGTGTGTACCTTTATTTTTCAATACGTATTCAATTGGTTAGAACACGAGCCAACGTCTAATGATTTGATTTAGAAAGTCAAACTTGGCAAACTTTAATACATTTCATTGAAATAATTAGATATATAAATAAAATAAAAATTGTTCACAAAAATGTGACTAATAACTAAGACAGTAGTGAAGTCATAGTGACATATGCTCAAATTTTAAACTTAAGTTGATAGAAAACTACATTGTAGTAACTATAATGTTAGATTAAAACCTTTTTTATTTACTTTCAGTTTTCAGATTTCATTAATGGCTGACAAACAGATTTTGTCATACACTTAGGCAATTTATGAAAATAATTTTAGAAAACTATTTTTTATATTTTGACTTTAAAAACTGAGATTAGTGTTTTCAGGAGACAACTTCTACTTAAATTAAACAACTAAAAGTTAAAAACTAGAAGCAAGTTGTGAGATGTTTTAAAGTGATTTTCACCTTTTCTATTCTACAAAAAATACTTATTTTATAAAATACTATCAACTTTTACTTTTTCAAAAACATTTTTTTCTCAAACACTACCATATTTTACTATTAATAACTTTCTTCAAAATCATTAAAAACCCATTTTTTAAAGTAAAAAGAATCGTAAACACTCATTGATTCTTTAATTTGTCTATGCCTCTCTCTTTGATGTTGTACACTTTAATACATTTTTTTACCCCAAGGAGGTCGGGGCTGGGGAGCAGGGAGGTTAGAGTGAACATGTCTGAAATCTCCTCTAAGAAGTTTCGAACCCAAGACCTCTTGTATGAAAGAGTGAGTGGACGATCAAGTGAGCTAGACCATCTCCTCTGTAATGAAACGGAAAATTACTTCTATGAAATACGATAGTATATGGTAGAATATACGAAGTATATGACTACTATATACGAAGTAATAAGGAGTACATATGTATACTATATTGATGGATAGTCTACCCGGGGGTATGTATCGAAGGGTTATTGCGGGGAATAACTAGAGAGAAGTCAGAGCATAAGTAAGAGAGAGAGAGTATATTGCTGAGAAAGTAATGAGCGTATTTCGCTTGGATTACAAATGGGGAAAAGGGGTGCTATTTATAGTAGTAATAAATGCCAGATAGGGACACGTGTCATCATTCTGGTGGTCGAGGGGTCACCTCAACGGGGTTGGCGCTGGCAATCGCATGTGGCCGCATTTAATGCGGCTGTTGGATGTGACGTCGTACTTGGTACGATGATTCAGGCGCATGTGGAGAGGATATTATGTCGAGGAAGGTGCCCTCGACTGCAGATGATTAGCCGAGGGCTCTGAGTACCGGGGACCTCCTTAGTGCCGAGGGCTCTAGGTGCCGAGGGCTACTGATTTTCGCCGTTTTCTCCAAGTAATTTTGTTCGCTTCAGTTGGCCATTCTGTGAGAATTTGAAGCCTTCGGCCAGGGGGCTGAAGGCACTCCCAGTGTGCTACGTGGGTTGCTTAGTACTTGGGGCACTGTGTTTTGGGCCTGCTGTGCTCCCTGGGCCTATTGGGCCTCCATCAGAATAGTAGGAGTCTATGGGCCGGGGGTTCCTGGGCCATATACTCCATCAGGAGTCCCCCACTCCTTTTACCGAAAGGTACTTGAGGGAAAAGGAGTAATCTGTGTTTGTCCTGTTGGTGTTGTTCCGTTGTAGTTTGTAAAGTTTGTGAGTAGTTTGTTGTGTGCATGTTTCATCCGAGGGCAATCCCTCAGTTACCCACATTCCGCGACTTGAGGGATCATGCTCGTTGTTTGTGGGAGTTTTTGACATTTTTTGTATTTTGAGATTTCCCCCGAAGGGGTCCTCCAGTCCCCCACTCCTTGAGGCACTTGCAAAGTGGTGAAAAGTAGTAGAGTAGTGCCTGCCTGCAATATGAAGCCGAGGGGTGACGCTTTTCGCTTCATTTTGGGGGGATGCCTCGTTAAAAACCTCATTGGAAAAAACCCTGCGGGAAAAATTTCCAATGAGGGAATAAGAGTGCACCGAATTCCCCCAATGATGAGTCAAAAAGGTGAAATCCCGGTTTGAAATGAGTGACAATATTTTTTGCCGAAGGCTATCCCTGTCTGAAGGCGCGTGTGTTGATTTGCCGAATGTTCCCTGTTGTTATCTTGAGAGATGCCGAAGGGGGAGCCCTCGAATTATGAGAATGAGGGCGCGATGAATGTGGATGATATTTCGGGTGTTGTCGAGGGGTCCCTTGTTTTTTTACAAGTGGGGGGTTGTGGTGCCCCGAGGGGTTCCTTGTTGCGTAGCCGGGGGTGATCGTTGATGAAGATGTGCTCCCCGGGGTTACGTGGCCCTCAATGTGTTTGAGGGCTGAGGGTTCCCGAGGGGTGTGCCCGTTATGAAGCCGTGGGCTTCTGGAGGAGTGAGCCCGAAGGCATTCGTGATATAGTATGAGGGGCCTAAGCCGGGAGCATCTCTGGGTAAGTGTACCCGGGATGTAACACCGACCCCGAGCATTTTTACTTTTAGTAAAGTATGTAATAAACCTTGAAGGATGATTTAAGAAATTGCGTGATTGTAAATTTTTACTATTTCTTTTACGTGAATAGTAAATTGCATGTGGGGCCCGCAGCGGGAACGGGGACCGCCCGATAATTCCCGAACCAGGTATTATATTCATCTTGGTCTAGATAATATGTATATGGTGGTGGATATTTTATTTGGGCCATAAGAAAGGCATGGGGTTGACCGGTTGGTCAAACGGGGCCCAATTACCGGTATTGGTAATTTAGCGGGTAACAGCCCGAAATGAGTTTCGGGGACTCCAAAATTGATGTTGGGGAAGGTACATCTATTCTAAAGGCCCATAATCTTTGGGAACGCGTCATATATTTTATTTGGCCCGATAAAATAAAATATAATTAAAACGGATCGAGAAATACAACTTTCGGGGCCGATTGTACACACCGGGACATAACGGGATGACCTCCCACCTAAGTGGGGGCCACCCCACGTTTTTAGGTGGGATAGCTGACTAAGAAATAGCTGGAGGGGACAAGCCAAAGAGGCTTGTGCGGACAGGAAGAGGGGAGGAAGTCTCATTGAGACAAAACCTCATGCCAATGCCTCATCCTAGGCATTATTGGCATTCTTGATTGAGGAGGA